CCTCCCCCTTGCTCCCCCCACACCAGCCTGTCCCTCACCCTCTGACACCTATTTCTATTTTCACTGACTGGCTTTCTTGCCTGCATTGCATGCCAGCCTCTGGCTTCTTTACTATTCCTTCCATCCAGGAACAGTGCGCACACACTAACTGTAGGTGCTTCCTCAGCCTGCCAAAGGGTTTTTAACCCAAAAGCTTGGCAGCCCAGGTAGCTAAGCTGAGCTCACCTTGAGCCTCAACTCCACTGCAACCAGCAAGCCTCAGGCCTGTCAAAGACGTGACGGATCTGGACTTTCCCTAGCCAGGACTGTGCATGTGTGTGTGGTGACTGGAGGTTATAAGGCGCCTCCTACCCACTTTTCACCAAGGACCCTCAGTCCTGGCAGTTAGGGGGGGCTACTACGCCACCAGCAGTCCTACCAGGCTTCCCTGACAATGGCAGAGTGAAGTTTTAGTGGTCATGCCCAGGACCTGGGTTCTCCTTGTTCCCCATTGCCACAGCCCATACCTCCAAGTTTGTCCTGACACAGGAGCTCAGCAGGGACATGTTCTTCCCCTGCTGGCTGTTGATACAGTGAGTGCCCCCTCTAGCTCTGAGAGCGGGCCACTAAATAATTGTAAAACTCAAAGGGAAAAAAAAAAGAAGGAAGTGTGGGCAGAGTGAGGATGGTGACACTTGCTCCATCTGCATGTGGATCTTAAGGAACCTTAGGAGTGAGAGATTCACCTTTAAGGAACACCAGCTGCTCCACCAAACCAGGATCTAAGGAGGTGCGGTGGGGTGTCACAACATCCCCAGCAGTGCTGAACACCCTCTCACTCGGAACACTGGTTGGTGGACAGGACAGGTGTTCCCGGGCATCTGTGGCCAAATCTGGCCACATCTGGCTATGGCTTGCCCAGTAGGCCAAGGGGTTGCACAGCAACGGTTCCATGTCCTTGGTGAGACAGGCAGCCACCAAAGCTTGAGCACTACCTGCCTGATGGTGGGGTCTAGTGCCTCTGTACCCCACCATGAAAGCCATGTCCCTTGGCCCACATTGGCAGCACCTGTGGTGGAGGTGGAAACTGGCTGGTGGATGGCATGCTGGCATGGGACAGTGGATCCCCCTCTTCCACGGCCCCCTGCCTGTGCCCTTCTGCCTCCCTGCCTCTGTTCACAAGCACCTCCGTCCAGTGATCCAGGTTTTTGCTGCCACATATGCTCCCGTTCACCATTGGGTCACATGGCAACCAGCACATGGACTGTACTGGACCGCGAAGGATCAAGCCATTTTCTGATGCTCTCCTTCAGCCATTTCACCAGTGCCTGCACCTCTGGTGACAATGGCTTGCCCCAGCCAGGAACATCAATCCCCTGGAAGCTCTCCATTTGGCTCTGAAGTTCCCTCGCTATGGGGATCACTTGGCTAAGGAGGACATCGCCACCTCTGGGGGTCTCGGTAGCCTTGAGGAAGGGCTTGAGAACCACCAAGATCTGGGACATGGTATCCCACTCAGCTCTGTTAAGGGGGCTGCAGATCCCAGTCTCCCCAAGCAAAGCCATCTCATGGATGGCCTTCTGTTGGTCCACCAGCATCTCAAGCATCAGTTCCACCGAGTCTCCACATCCTGTATGATTTTGTGCTGTGGGATGTTCAGCTCTGCCTGTTTGTCCTGCAGCATCTTGCCCCCTTTGCTCCAGTGGAAGTAGCCCACCACCTAAGCTCATTTGGAAATGAGCTTGTTGGTGGTGCTGGTGCCATCACCAGCAGTCCTGTCCTCCTTCAAGTTGTCCCTGACAGTGAGGTGGAACTTGTGTGCCACATAGCAGATGCCAACAAAGTTGTCATCACAGACCGCCTTGAACATGTTGGCCCCATTGTCAGTGACCATGAGCCTGCAGGTGAACTCACCCTGCCCAACAAGCCACCCCTGCACCGTGCAGTTCAGGCCCCCATGATCTTGGTTGCTGTGTGGAACTCATTCATCACCTCAGCTTGAAGGAGAGCCCACCGATGGCCTGACTGGTTGCACCAGTGCCCTGTGAGGGAGAGGTAGGTGTGATCTCCACCCTGGCTGCTCTAGATGTCCAAGCTGAAGTGTTAAGGCCACCTGCGAACCTGCCTTGTGCAGCTTCTCCTTCAAGTACTCCTTGCATGCCTCATACATGGAGGGCACCACTGCCCTGCTGAAGGTGGTGCATGCGGGCACTTTGTACAGTGGGGCCATGAGTGCCATGAGCCGCCTGAACCCTGGCTGCTCAACAAAGGAGAAGGGCTGGCTATCCAGAGCAAGCATCTCTCCAATGCTCTGAGTGGCCTCACTTGCCTTGGGAACGTGCCCCCCTGTGTGCACGCCTTTCCCGCACAGTTCCAGGGTGGCCTGCCTCTGCTTCAGGGGGATGGGGGCTTTGGAGCAAGAGGAGGACTTATTTTTGGGCACACTTCCACTGGTGCCAGGCTGTGGAGGAGCATGGGCAAGGGGGTAGTACCTGTGGAGATGCATCAGCAGCCCTGTGATGCTCATGTGTCCTTGCCCCAGATAGTTTTGGCTCAGTAGTTCAGGCTGATAGCATATGTGGGATCATCTGCCAGCTCAAAATGATCCCAGACCACACTACCCTCTCGCTTCTGGGATGCGGGTGTGTGTTTGGATGCTACCTTTTCCGCCTCCTCAGCAGGCAGAGGCACAGCAACAGGAGGAGCAGATTCAGCTGAGCCACTTGCCTCTACAACCTCTACCTCAACCTCCTCTGAATTGTCTTCTGAGGAAGGAGACCTGGCTGCAAGGGAAACTTGGGTGTGGAGCACAAACTGAGATGATTCTCCCTCTTTCCCCAAAATTTCCTTTGCTAGGACACTCAGATCCAGCTCCAGCTCTTTCTCTGGCACTGGAAACCTCAGGCTGGGAAGTGAAATGGGAGTGGAGGAGACTGTCATGCTGGTGCTGCTTGTGGTGGTGGTGGTGGTATGGGAGGTTATGCCTGGTGCTGTTGGAGGGGATGCAGACTCACGCTGTGGCAGTGTTCCCCTCTGCTTGCTGCCAGTAGAGCCAGAAGCCTCATGCCTGCTAGTTGTAGGAAAGAGGCTGCATCTCAGTTTGTGGGGGGACAACACTTACAGCTCTCCCTCTACCCTCTCTTCCCCCTGTCCCTGAAGGCTTGCCAGCTGCCTTTCCAGCATGCTTCATAGTGTGTTTGGTATGCTGGAGAATCTGTGTGTTCTTTTGTAATGTAATACATATTTATGTAATATCTGTAGATAATTGTATGTATGTATTTATGTATAAATTGTATTTTATAATATGCAATATACGCTGTGCTTCCCTGTACAGTGAATGGAATGTACACTGTGAGAGAGAGCACAGATTTATTTTCTGGGGGAAAAGAATCAAAATAGACTAACAAAAACAAAAAGAGGATTTTAGGGGAGGAATAAATTGAAAGGAATTACTATAATAATAAAGTGTATTAGGAAAGGAAAACGTATTGGATCCCACTTGCTAGGAACAGACTAGCAAGTAGGAAGTGATAGCCTTTCTGATGCTGCTGAACTGCTGGAAGACACGGCTCGGTAACTTGACCCCAAGGCACAGAGACAGCTCAGTTCAAACAGTGCTTTTTATGCTGTTTTTCTGTCCCTCCCCCAGAGCACTGGGATTGGAAGGGATCTCAGGGAAGGATCACAGTCACTGACCAGCTGCACATGTCAATATCAGAGCAGTCCTTCCCACCTCTTCCCTGTCTCTCTCCTTCATTTCTGTTCAGCTGAAAGCAAGCCTGGCTTTGAAACTGAAAATGTTTCAAAACTTTAGAAACTTTTCAAGTGCCTTTGTTTCATTTCAAAGCTGTTTCGAAGCGTTTCATTTCAGTTTCGCTGTTTCGAGCTCGAAATGCATTGAAACAGCTTCAAAATGAAACACCCATTGAAATTTTGCATAGCTCTAATAATTATTGCGCCATTTGTGCAATATTGGATATTGGCCAGTAAAATTTACAGTCATCTGAGTAGCCTGATACTCTTTGGCTGCTTGCAGGCATGGGGATTCAAAATGGCGCTTTAAACTCAGTGCGTCCCTGCACTGAACCCAGCGCATGCCCAGAAGAGGCATTGCGTTAGTTGCATTCAGCTTTCCCAGCATCTGTATCGGTCAGGCACTTTAGTGGAGCTTTTTTGGTGCTTTTATCTAATAGCTGATTGAACTAACTATTAGATAAAAGTGCCAAAAAGCCCTGCAGAAGTGCCTGATTTATGCAGATATTGCAGAGCCAGGTCGAAGCTGCTGCTTCTGGTAAAGCATGTTTCCTCCCCCTGCCCTCTCCTCATGCATCTGTCAACGCCTTTTAGTAATACTGTGGCATTAAACTGATCACTTTTTAAAGACAAGGTTCCTGTGACAGAATGAATAGGTTTCTTTAGATTACTATGCTTTTGTATATTGCAACTTGTTGATACCATGGACATTTCTTGCAACAAAATCACTACTCCAGTTGTCTTGCAGCAAGTGCTTTCTTTTGTGAACTTATTCAGAATTGCTGTGGTCCCAAGGTGGTAGTGAGAGAGGATTACTTTGTGGCATTCAGAACAGTATTTATGAAATCTAGAACTGAACTGGGAAAGCATCCTGGTTTAGATACAGTTTATACCAGAAGAAGTGCTTAGTGGCTCATTTAACTGTATGTGTGCTTAAGCTTTAACCAGTATAAAAAAATGATCGGTGAAATGATATCATTAGCTGGTATTATTATACTGGCAGAAGTTTCTGGAGTAGATTTGGCCTTGCATTTTTGGACTTGGTAGTAGTGTGATCTCTCACCATTGCTTAGTCATAGTAAATAAAATTTTCCCCCAAAATGTAATGTGTATATGTAAATAATTTTTATACATGCACATGTGTGTATCTATGTATAGATACATGCACATATATTGTGTGTATGTGAATATAAATAGATTTGTGTATAATATATATTCATTTTATGAATTCTGTAGGTAGTTTTCACAGCCTCTGTCTATCTTGCCAGGTGAAGCTGCCAGTGTGATTCAATTTGGAAAATCAGCCAAACGATCACCCGAGTCTACTCAAATTGGACAATATGGGAACGGCTTGAAATCGTAGGTATAACAGAAGCCAGCCTTCTTGAGATCTTAGGGTTTGGGGAGTGAATGGCTTGAGAATGTCGAGCCTTATAGACTTTCTTTTACCTGAAGAAAATATTTAAAAATATACCTTTTTGAAGCCACCAATCTGTAAGGGAGTTCTAGGTAAGTTTTCATGTTACATATAGTATACCATGATCTCTTTCTATTCAAGTCATCATCAATAGCAAAGTCTTCTTAGACCTATGATACCACAATAGCTTGGTCTCCACTGTAGTATTTTAATGATGGGGGAACTAGAGCTTTAAAGGTTCAGAATTATTAAAAGATGCTTTGGGGCAACTTTTATTAAAATGAGGTTTTGATTTGTTCATTGCTTGCATTGTTCTGTTTCAGTTCAGAGTATGTTTTCTTGGGGCCAGTGTTTTGTTTTGTTTTGTTTGTTTGTTTGTTTGTTTGTTTGTTTTAAGTGACTAACTGTGTGACTCAATATTTTAGGTCAGCCAGAAACCTAAAATCATTACTGATGTCTTTAAAGCTTAGTCCAAACCACTCCTTTGACTTCAGAGAGAAGCTCTGTTGGTGAATTTGGACAATTGAATGAGGAAATAATAAGGGGTGCATTAATACATTGGTCCCATATCTCAGAGGTTTTCAACCTTATTTAAGCAGGGTACCCCTTCTGGTCATGGGGGGGCGGAGGTGTGCTGACAGACAGCCGGACATGAAGCTGGTGGCATGGGGAGCTCGCACACTGCTGCCGCTGCCATCTATACATTTCGTGTCACTGCTGGGCGCCGCGTTCCCACACCCAAGTACCCCTGTTTCTCCACACTGCTGGTTTCGTGTTCGGCCAGCAGGGGGGAGGGTTTGCTGATGGCCAGATGGACACAAAGCTGGCAGCGTGGAGAAGCGGGGGTACCTGGGAAGGCAGGGTGGGACCCCCCCTGCCATCCATCACTCTGTGCCACCTCCGGGTGCCATGTGCTGTTTCCCTGCACCCAAGCATCCCCGCTTCTCTGCGCTGCCAGCTTCGCATGCGGCTAGCCGTCAGCACCCTTCCGGTGCATGGTGGTGGCACTGAATGTACAGATGGTGGTAGGGGCAGCTGCCGCATGCGAGCTCCTCTGGCTGCAGAGAAGCAGGGGTACTTAAGTGCAGATAGCGGCGCATGGCAGTAACGTGGAGTGATGGATGGGGGCAGCAGCCCTGCCCCCCATGCCGGCACCTCCCAAGTACCCCCACTTCTCTGTGCCTCTGCTGCATACCCCTTGAGGCCTTCCCAAGTACCCCCAGGGGTACGCTTATCCCCCGGTTGACAGCCCCTGCCATATCGGATCAGCATCAACATAGAAAATTGAGAGTATTGGCAATTGGCTTTTTTTGGCTGATGTGGCTGATAAATGTCCTGTGCATGTGCGCAGCCACAGTGTAGCACGCAGGTGGCCAAAAGCACAGCTTGGCAGCATGGAGAGCAGCTGGGTCCGGCTGGTAAATCTGTTGCGAGGGAAGGGCGGGGGCAGATTGAGACCCCCCATGGTGAGGGAGGCAGTGGAGCTGGGGCTGCACTGCTGGGGTGGGGGTGGGGTGAGGTGAGGTGGGGGGTGGGATGGGGAGGACACAACTCCTGCCACTGCATGCACCCCAGGAGAGCATGACGGGGTCGTGTGCCCCCAGATCAGCATGCGGGGTGAGTGCAGGCTGCTGCTGTGGGCTGGGACTTGGGGCAGTGCTGAGATCTTCCCAGCAGGGGGTTGGGTCAGGCTGCACTTGGTGCGGGTGGCGGCTGCGTTAGGAGGGGGGCTACGGCTCCTTCCCCCCCGTAGCCTCCCTCCCAGCACTACTGCTGCGCACTGTAAGCGCAGCCCAATGTAGCCCCCCGCACCAGGTAGGCCTGCCCTACTCGCAGTGGCAGCCTGCCCTCACCCCATGCATGGATCTGGGGGCACATGCCCCCCATGTCCTCCTGGGGTGCATGCAGCAATGGGAATTGCCCACTCTGCCCCCGTGCTCCCTTGCTGAGCCACTCATGGCTCCGTCTTGCGCCCCGCTGTGGCCGTGCAGCATCTGCCCCTGCCCCAGTCCCACTCCATCCCTTACCACGGGGCCCTCAATTTCCACCCCCTGCCCCTTCCCCCACAACAGACTTGCCAGCTGGATGCTGCTCTCCAAGCTGCCTGGCTGCATATCAGCAATCAGATTGATATCGGCTGACATGGCTTGTTAAAAATCGTCCATTGGTATTGGCCCCAAAAATTTCTATCGGTGCGCCCCTAGAAATAATGAGCCCAGTTTAGATGACTGACACTCAGTCCTGACTGGCTCAGGAGCCACGGAGTCAGAGAATCATAGAGAAGTAGGGCTGGCAGGGACCTTCAGTGGTCATCTGGTCCAACCCCCTGCCAGAGGTGGGATCATCCCTATCCAAAACATTTTATACAATCTATAATCTAGGACTACTGGAGTCACCTGAGGTGAGTGTTCACCAAAGAGCCACAACAGTATATACAACCCTTATGGTAATATTCTGTTCTGAACGTCCTCTTCATGCAATGAGTCAGGTTATTAGGATAGAAGTGATAGTAGATTTTTGATTGTGTAGCATAACTAAATCTGTTTCTTAGACCATTTTGCAATGTTTTGTTTTTGTTTCATATATATTGGTATTTCGGAATTTTTAAAAAAGTATGTTGGGGGGAGAAATGAATAACTTAAGATTTATAGTAGAAAGTGCTCTGTTGTTTTTACTTTCAACACCACTGAAATATAATATACACACTAAAATCTGCTTCCAGGGGTTCCATGCGGATTGGAAAGGATTTTATCTTGTTCACAAAGAAAGATGGCACTATGACTTGTCTCTTCCTCTCACGCACGTTTCATGAGGAAGAAGGCATTGATGAGGTTTGCATATACTTTGTCATTATGAAATAAAATTATAACATTCTGTAATTTGAGTATCACTCCTGTTTGCTATTTCTCCTGAGCTTCTCAGAGGAATAGAATCTGTTTGAGATTTGAGTTGAGATTCCTCTGGTGACTTTGTTGTTGTGCCCATCCTGTCTCATCCCTACATAAACACATTTCATCTACATAAATCTATTTCTTATGAAGCATGGAAGCTTGTACTTCTAGACACCTGGCTTCCATTTGCCTCAGAATGGATATTGTGTGAAAGTTAAAGCCATTTGAAATGAGCTGTCAGATCTCTTTCCAGTTCCCTGTGCATATAAAATCATGATAGCTAATAGTGCTAATTAGCCCAGTTACTGGCAGTTTCAGGTGCTGGAGACTGAGTGAACTGTGCAGACTAAATTTCTGGATTTCCTCCAGACCTCTTAGAGGTGACTTGCTTTGTTCTGTAACTGAGAGTAGAGTACTGATATTGGAGGTAAAGGGAATAAGGAGCTTGTTTCACCACTGCCTGTACTATTCCTGTCCAGATAACTGCAAAACTTGAGTCTCTAGGATAATCAATCCAGCATAGTGACTTAGCTATCCTGTCTTACAGGAGCTGAGGGAGCTGGCTAACAGTACTTCAGGAAACTTACTTGTTTCCTGGCAACACTTCATTGAAGAAAGTGAATATTCTGATTGTTTCCTACAGAAATGTTTAAAATGTGTTATTTTGAGAAGATTCTAAATGCTATAGAAAGATAGCTTCCAATCCTTCTGAGAGCTATATATCTTATACTCAGTTATCATCTCTTTGTGTATGAAAGAGATCATTGCTATATATAGAGAAACTGTGAGAAAGGGGTAACTTCTCCCAAACAGGTGGCTGAAGGCCAGGGCTAATGGGGCTTATCCTCCCCAAGCACGGGGCAGCGGGTAGAGCCACAAGGCAGCCTGGCTGTGGGCTCTGGGTGGCTGCAGCAGGGGAGGGGAGGGGCATGCATGTAGCGGTGATGGGGAGAGTGAGGCTGGGACAGGGGCAAGCACTGCATAGCCAGGGTGGGGTGCGGGACAGAGCCATGAGCAGCTTGTTTTGGGGGGTTGCAAACCCCTCTCCAAGAGCCACTGCTGCTGCTTCGAGCACAGCGCAGCCCAATCCCATCCTCCCCCCTTCCGAGCCATTGCAGCCGCCCAGCCTGTGTGGGGTGAGGGTGGGCTGTCGCTACACAGGTACGGGGTGCATGCCTGCTCATGCCCTCCCAGGTTGCGTGCAGCAACAGGAGCCGCCACCCCCTCCCCGTGCCAGGTGCCCTCCAGATGACCCGCTTGCGACTCCGTCCCACACCCCGCCTCAGCTGTACAGAGCCAGCCACAGCCCGAGCCCTAGCCCGACTCTCTCCCTCACTGCCATGAGGGAGGGCAGATCAAGGCCCCAGCGGTGAGGAAGGGAGTCGGGCACAGGCAGGAGCTGGGGTGAATGGGGCCCCAGCCAGGCCAGGTGGTGGGACAAGCTGAGCCCAGGAGGCATGTGCTTCTCAGCCCTGGTCTGTGGCCAGGGTAGAAGCAGCTGCCACTGCACGCTGGACTTTGCTCCCTGTTGCAGCTGTGCCATGCCCCCTGCCATCCTGGCAGTGGGACACATCTGGTGTCGTGCGGCTCTCGGGGCACCAGGGCTCAAAGCGCAGCACACAGCGGCAGCTGCCTCCACTCTGCACATGGACCGGAGGAGGCACGTGGCCCCCAGGCCTCTGCTTGTCCCACTACCCAGCCCAGCCGGCGCCTCACTCACCCCAGCCCCTGCTCCTGCCTGTGCCCTGCTCCCTCCCTCACTGCTGGGGCCTCTATCTGCCCTTGCCCCTTCCCCCACAACTTACCTGCTGGGGGAGGGGTGTCATGCACACTCAGCTCCCTCCCCCCCCATTTTTTTTTCTCCCTCCACCTATGGTCCCACACCAAGTAATCAGTGAAATGTTTGGAATATCTTCTGAGTCTAATCCTAACCACAGGTAATTGTTCCTTTGCCCACCTGGAACACATGTACCCGGGAGCCTATAACAGACAACATGGAGAAATTTGGAATTGAGACAGAGCTTATTTACAAGTATTCCCCCTTCAAGTCGGAGCAAGAGGTGATGGAGCAGTTTAATAAGATTCCAGGGGAAAAGGGTAAGTTTGAGCTTATTTTGGGCATGGGGTAAGGGAATTAAAGATGAAACAGGAGAGGGAATTGGGACAGCAGGAGATAGGGCTAACCTGTTTGAGTTTTGTCCCTTGCTCAGGGACCCTGGTGATCATTTTTAATCTCAAACTAATGGATAATGGGGAGCCAGAGTTGGATGTGACTTCCGATTCCAGAGATATTCAGATGGCAGAAACATCCCCAGAAGGAACGTAAGTGTAACGGAGACACCACAGGTGCCTGAGTTATTTGTATGAATCACATAGAAAGGATTTACAAGTCAATGTTTCCTGTTCAGGCAAGTGAGCTAATGGGGTTTTTGTATTCTAGGTCAGGGGTTGGCCTGCAGAGCCAGGGGACTTTGGTAGTAGGAGTCTTTGGCTGTGCCATGGCTGGGCAGTGGGGAACTTTGGCTATACCACGCTGTATTTAGGCAGCAGGGAGAAGTCCTAGCGCTGACTTGCCTCAGACCTGAGCCTGGGTCATCCCACCCTGCTGCCAGAAAACATCGCCAGTCCTATTTTAAGATTAATTCAGATGGGATTTAAGAAGTTCCTTAGTTTTTTTTACTCTCTGAAATTGGTGCACTTCACAGATCATAGAAGTAATTTTTGTGCTTTGAGTGGGATAAGTAGGATAGTTCGCTTTCTATGTATGTCCATAGAGTTGCTTCAGAGAATGGCTTTGGCTTGTCAGCAAACTTGGCATACATGTTATTAGGACAGCTAGGGAAAAGAATGGAGTTCTGTGCCACAGAGAGCACATCTACACATGCAATTACTACACCTTAATAAACTCTGGCTCAGTTTGCGCCAGAGTCACCTGCTTCCAGGTGTAATGTCTTCACATGTGTCCTGGACCCACAGAGCCAGGGTGGAGCAGCCCTGGGGGGGGTCAGCCCTGGGCTCTGGGTGGTAGCATCAGGTGTTGGAGGGGCTGGTTTAGGGCATGAGAGTGCCCAAGTGCAGAGCCGTATGGCTGACCCCCTGAGCCTGCTGCTTGCCTGGGGATGCTTCACCTTGGCTCAAACTGCTGCAGTCCTGGTCACTGCCTTCACTGTGCTTTCTGCGCACTAATGAACTCCACTGTAAGATAGTACTGTCTCTGGCAGTACTATTTTACAGCAGAGTTAGTTAATTTACTGCACCCTAATACTAGCGCACACATAGATAGTGACAGTTTACTGTGGAGGTAATTGGTCAACTCTGCAGTAAAGGACACATGTAGATGGACTCAGAGAGTTAGTTTGTAATTCTTTGAAGGGATTACTAGCATTAACACGTGCTGCTACTTTTTACCTTTGTGTATCCCCTATTCCAAACTAGCTTTGAGTGTGATTGAGTTTCACTAGGTCTTCTTTGTGATCACATTTGGGAAGGGATCTACTTAAATCATGTCAGAAGTGTGCTGTGCAGCAGCTTCTTTAATCTTGCTTTTTTTGCTGCCCTGCCCCTCTCCTCCCTCCCTATATCACTGATTGGCTGAGGGACCCTTGTGGCCTTGCTGCTCACTTCTGATTGGCCAGGAGGCAGAAACTGAGTTTTTAAATATGTTGTGGTTTTTTGACTCCCAGCCAATCAGCAGCAAACAATGGAGCCACCAGGGCCCCTCAGCCAGTCAGAGGTGGAAAGCAAAAACCATGGCATATTTAAAACTGCGTTTTCTGCCTCCTGGCCAATCAGGAGAAAGTGGCTGGGCTGTTGGGGCCACTTCATGGATCAGTGGCAGAGGGGGTGCATGGCAAAAGGAACAAGATTAAAGGAACCACTGCGTAGCATACTTCTGGTGTGATTTAGGTAGATTCCTACACATGGGCTATTCGGGTGAGTAGCCTAGGTAAGAGGGAGGAAATAATTGATTCAAATGGTGAGCGTTTATGAAAGAAGAGTGGGCAGTTTCTGAAGGTGAATGTTGGAGCTTTCTGGTCCATATAAGAAAGCCTCTATTTAAAAGGGAGGTGGGGAAAGATTGGCCCCTATCCAATGAAGGGGGACCTGGGACACATTTGTGGTGTATCTCATGGTGGAATGTAGCCATGAACCAGTTGGGATACTTTGTTTAAAAAAAAGAGTTTGTAGGGTGAAGAAAAAAATAAACTGAAACTAAGATACAAGCTAAAACCCTCCAGCATATCTTAGCTTTCAGTTAAATGGGCTTAATGTGCATTCTCCCTAGATTGCCTGTCTGGCATAGAGGCCTAGCCCTGAGCCATTCAAGGACTTTTTGTAGCCACGCAGAATTCATCTGCTGTAATTGGTCCTGTATTCAATATAAACTGCTTAGAAGTGGGAGATGCTAATGCAGGCAGAGCTTAGCAATGTTTTTGGGCAGAGTGCCAAAAACACCCACAACTTCAATTTGTAAGATGTTGCTGTGCCAGGGGCGGAGGACAGGGGAGCCACAAGGGGCCTGATTCTTGCACCAGCACAGCCCCAGCCTCTTCTTTGAGGTGCAAGTGCCAAGGAAAATGCCTCAATGTGGCACAGTCTGGCATGTCTGCTGGGGTTGCCTATCCCTATGCTAAGGGATATGGTAGTATTTAAGTTTGTGAAAACAGGGTATGGGGAAACGTCTGGGGAATGTATGGTGAATGCATAATATGACTGATTTGGGACAGAGACAAAAGGATATTCTTCAGTATGAAAGGAATATGTAGTAATACTTAAGGAAGAAAATTCTCTTACTGAAGGGGAGCTCAGGGTGGAGGACAGAGAGGAAGACAGAATTTCCTTGACTGAGGGGACTATGTGCATTGTTAGAAGGTTAAGTTGGTGTCAGGATCTGGGTTGCCTAGACCATGGGCTGTTGCATAGGTATGAATGAGTGGATAAGGTGTCTCCTTTAAGTGGAGCCAGGGTGCTTTGCTTTTGTTTGGAATGCATCATCCAGTTCTGCAAACTCCATTCTCTTTCAGGAAGCCAGAGCGTCGCTCCTTCCGTGCTTATGCTGCTGTGCTGTACATTGATCCAAGAATGAGGATCTTCATCAATGGACACAAAGTGCAAACCAAACGACTCTCTTGTTGCCTCTATAAGCCCAGGTAGGAGCCATGACCTAACGGTCAGAATACCTAGCTCATCCGTAGCACCTTGAAACTCACCACTTGCTGTGGGTATGGGCTCCATGTTGGAACCACAGAAGTCAACTGATGGTAGGTGACCTGAACTCATAGGGCACTGTATGGTGTTTGACTTCAGTGGGAGTAGAAGTAGATCATGGAAAGGTCAATAATAATTGTTTCTGAAAAATCTCACCTACAACCTAGAGTTCAGCTCCTTTGAAGGGTGTACAAGGAATGAAACCTTTTGGTTTTGGTTTTGTGATGATCAGAAATCTGTTTCAGAGAGTGATAACCAACTGAGATTTCTTGGGCACTGCTTATCAAAGGACTTTATGGTAATTCTGCCAAATAAAAATGAAACCAGGCGGAGTGTTTGGAACACTTGTGTTCAATGTTTTTTGTTTTTAAATAGCAGATTTAACTTTGCCCAGCCTTCCTTTAAATTGATTTTCCCCTTCTCTTAAGCCTATTCATATATCTTGGATTTGGAAGTTGGGGTCAGATTGTTGATGCTGTTTGGCATTTGTTCAGTTCCAGAGAGTTTGAAGGTGGGAAGACATTAATGAAAGGAGAATATATCTGTCCTTGTAGGATACTCGCTTGGGGCTGTGTGTGTCAATATCAGGTTTTCCTGCAGTAATGCAGCGCACAGACTAATAAAAACATGCTTTGTTTTAAATGGAAATACAGCATGTGGGAAAGGGGATAATAATAGTAAAATATTTAGCTCTGTGGCAGTTTGCATGAGAAGTGTTGAATCAAGTGTGTTGAATCCAAGTGTGGTGAGTACCCAGTAGTCCCATTCTATAGATAGAGAAGAGGTAGTAGTAGAGAATGTTAAGACTTTTAGAAATAGTTAGTGAATTTTCTGGTGCCATATAAGCAGTTGTAATTCCTACTGGCATTGAAGTTGTGTATTCTGTGCACCCCTAAAATCAGCCTTGAGGAGTCAAGTTGTGGGGACAAAAACACCGTCAAATTTTAGAAATATAGGTCTTAGGTTTTCCAAATTTATTAGGCCTGGATCCCAAAGGGAACCAATGGAAATGTTAGCACTAAAGCCCATGTTTTTTATTCCTAGGCTTGCTTCTTAACCCCTAAACTATACGGTCAAATGGGATAGATTTAAGTGACAAGAAATTATGTCCACAAACTCTAGTTTTGGAAGATCAAAAATTAGTTTGTGGTATTCCCAAAATGTCTGTTTCCATAGTATTTGCCTGGTTCCACTTGTGATAGTGTGGTGTAGGCAAAACAGGACAGTTAGAAATAACTGTATTACAGTCTGGTCAGGAGCCTCCTGGACAGTTAAGGGAAGTAACTGAATCCCATGGGTTTCCTTGGACAAAGAGTGCTGTGTTAGGATGGCATGTGAAGACTTTTAGTTTACAGGCATAGCTGCTATTGAGGGTGATGATAGGTTAAGATCATCTTGCAGAATCTATATACTGTTTACCAATTTTGCTGGTATTATCTTTGGATAGCAGGGTGATGGAATTACTAATAAATTCTGCTTGTTACAGGATGTACAAATACACTTCAAATCGTTTCAAGACCCGTGCAGAACAGGAAGTGAAGAAAGCAGAACATATGGCTCGGATAGGTGGGTCCCTCCCTAGTTGTGTGCATGAGTCCTGCTTAAATGCAGGATGTGTGTGAAAGGTGAGACCAGGCTGTCTGGTCCAAAATAACTCCTTCTGTGGTAAGTATCAAGGTCTGCCCAGCCTTTGCCCTCAGTTGCGCAGCTTGGCTTCCCAAATAATCCCTTTTGTAACAAGCATTCTCCAGGGGAGCTCACTAAGACAGAAAACAGCATTTTGAGCACACAAACATACTCTCCTTTCTGATACTAATTCTCCAGTCTGTTCATGTGTTAACTAAAGGGACCATTTATCCTCCAATTCCCCACACAGCAGTCATTATCTTAGTTTTCTCCTATCCCCTGGAGTTTGATAACTTGGGCCCCTCCTGGGAAGCTCCTTTACAACTACAAAGACAAATCCTCCTCATGTTTGACAGAGGTTGGAGGTGGCCAGGATTAGAAGAGGATGGCCTATCCATCATATTTCCATTAGGACTTCCTTTCTTTCTCTCATTCCCCGCATTTTCTTTTGGGTTGTCTGTTGTTTTATCTCCATCTGCTAAATTTTTTAATGCTTGTGCTTATCTTTCTTCCCCTGCTGTACCTTCTAAGGCTGAGGTATAACCACCTCTTTGTAACTATATTCTGCTGCTCTATGCTTTTTATTCACTGTCTTACCAAAATTAAAAGGTTTTATTCCTCCTCTTTTCCCATCTTCAGAAGCAGTCACTTGTAGGAGATTTCTTTTATTCAGTCAGTTAGTTGGATTGACTCAGTGATGTTGGCTGCTGCACCTGTGCTTCCCCTTCTTACTTTAGATAAAAGGCATACACCTTGCTTCTCCCCCACTTGATGTTCTGTGCCGTCCTTGTTCAACTCTCGGAGAAATTAAGCATTAAGAAAAACAGGAATAAAAAACCTCTGTGCTCCCTTCCATGAACCG